CCTCAAAAGTTGTGGTGAAGGGTTTCAGCAGCGCCCGGTGCTCCTTCCTGAAGGTGTTGCCAGCCAGGCCCAGGACAAACCACTCCCCCTGGAACTACAGGGCTAGCCATGGGCCGTGGCACCCTCTGCCCCTCCTCCTCCCAATGCCTGCAGCCAGGACACCACCCCCCCAGGCTGGGCCCACCCCGACCAGGCAGGGACGGGGTCCTGACCAGCAGCCGGTCAGCCTCCCTACAGGAGTGGCTCGACAGGGCCCAGTGGGGACTGAGCTAGGGCTGTGCAGGCGGGCTGGACAGTGACTGCCGCGTCAGACCGCTGCCCTGTGGGCATCTGGAACGCCTCACTCGTGTCTCCCGCGCCAGTCCCGAGAGGGAAGGTCTGTCTAGGGCCCTCTTCTGAAGAAGTCAGGGCTGTCTGGATGCCCCAAGCATAGGCCGGCCACCTGGACTCCACCCCTACCCCGGTCACAGCCCGCTGCCTCCCCCTCCGGGAAGCCCTCAAACCTGGTCCATTTGGAAGCTCTGCATATAGGGTGGCTTTGGCAGGGAGTTTGGGGTCTGGGCCTGCAAGACCCTCAGAGTGAGCAGCAGCCACAGCAGACACAGAGGCCCCATCCTGGCAGCTGCTAGACTAGCAGATGCAGCACCACCCACTTGCACTGGCCTCCGGTCCCATAGGCCCTTGGGAGGGGCGTGTCGCTTGGACAGTAGGGAGGGCTGGTGGGTTGAGCAGGGACAGGACCCTTCTCAGACCCTGCCCACCTGGTGGGGTCTTCTGGTTCCCAGCCAAGAGGGCGTGGGGTACCCGTGGGGTGCACTCCAGCTTTCCTTCTGAGCCCCCACACTAGGGTGCCTCAGGCACATCCGCTGGCCAGCCCGCTCTCTGGCATGGACTGTCCCATGAGGGCAGGAGTGTGACTGCTCCTGGTCCAACAGGACAGGGCAGGCAGTGGCCATGCCTGGGTGCCCCCACCTGCGAGCCTGGGCCGCCAATGCCCAGCCCACGTCTGGGTTCATAATGTCCTGCAGCCCAGCAAGGCCTACAGGAAAGGTGGGGCCTGCAGCCACAGGAGATAGAGAGGTCTGGGCTTGGACCCCTTGGAGGGGAGTGCAGGGGGCTGGCCGGGAAACTCACTACTGGGAGTGGGGTGCCCACACTGGTTCTGCCCAAAGAGGGCCCGGTGGGAGTGCTCAGCAGGGTTGGGGTTCATGTCACTGGGAGAGACAGCTGTGTCCCGCCCCTCCCTCCAGTGTGTGGGGCGCTGGGTCCGTAGGGTACAAGGCTGTGGCTCCTGGCTCCATGCAACCCCGGAGCTGTGCACAGGTCACCTGCTCCCCACTCTGGTCCCCCTGCTGGGCCACCTGTTCCCCACCAACCCTGCTCTCACGGGGACATGTCTCATTCCGGAGGTGCCCTGGGGCAGGAGCCCCTGCCTGGTCTTGAGGCGAGGGGGGGGGGGTGCTCAGAGGTGGCCTCTGCCAGGCTCCCTCCCTCTCTCCCTGGAAGGGCCCCTGCCACGCCCACCAGCTGTCGGCCCAGGTCACTCGATGCCCGCCCACGCTCCTGCGCTTTTCGCACCGGACCCGCAGCGGGACCCTTCCCTGCGCTGCCTTATCTGCCGGGCACTCCTAGGAGGTCTGCGGAGCGCCAGTGGCCGGACCCCCGCCACGCAGCACCCTTCGGAAGTCGCCGCCCGTGATTAGGCGTGCCCAACCCCCGGGGGTGGGGGTGGTGCTGCAGGCGTGGCCCCGCCCGCCTCCGACGGGATTGGTGGCGGGCGGGCGCAAGACCTCGGCCCAATCAGGTTCCGCGTGTGTATTTCCTGCGACGGGCGGCGTACGGCCGGGGCGTTCCCTATATTCCAGGACAAGGGTGCTGGGCACCTTGTGGGGTGCCCCAGAACTGAGACAGAGCCTGGGCTGGGAGGGGACCAAAACGACACAAGCTGCCCCAGGGACTTGCATCCGAGGAAAGGCTGCAGGAGAGGATCAGCCGAGCCTCCGGGCAGCGCGCCCAGGAGCTGGAGGCGGCACCGGGCGTTGCGGCGCCCACCCCGGCACCTGGCGCGGTTCCTGGCGCCTCGCCCCTGCTTCCCTCCGGGCCGTCGACAGCGGCCCTCCTACTACACCTGCCACCTGCCCCGTTTGCGCATCTCCCTCGTGAAGCTCCGAGACTGTTCTATGCTCTCTCTCCCCTTGCCCCCACCCAAGAGCTCTTCCCACAGACACTATCCTGAGCCTGGGTGCTCCCCTAGGGGTGGGTGGGGGCAGAAGCGCGGAGAGGAGGGCGCCTTGCCCCAGCAGGTGTCCTGCCACCCGTCCAGTAGCGCCTGCGGCCGGTCGGCGGAGGGAAAGGGAAGCACAGAGCACCTGACTGCCCTGTGCGACCAGGCGTCGGGGCCAGGACAGTGCCCCTGCGCCTCAGGCCCCGTCCTGCAGGTCTCCTGCAAGGTGGGCCATTAAGTGCAAGGTTCCATAGGTCGTTAAAGTTATATTTCTTCTAGGATATCGAAAATAATCTATGAGAATTGAAAGACAAAATATAAGCTATAAGAGATATTTGAAGAGGGGCCTTGGGACCAGCGGTTGGCATAATGGCTATGTCGCGGGACTCCCATGTAGTTGACCGCGGTTCCAGTCCCAGACCCGGCGGCTTAAACTCACGCGGGGCGCGGCGCGTGTGCATGCATGCCCATGCATGCCCAAGATCCCGAGAGGAGAATGGAGGAGAAGGGATTTTGGCATGGCCATCCCCCCTGGGGGGTGATTTCTCACTTTCTGTCTCTCTGTCTTTCTTTCTGGCGAGGGCATGCGCCCTATAGCAAAAACCTCTCAAAAAAAAAAAAAAAAAAAAAAAAAAAGAGGGGCCTGCAAGTGGGATGGTAGTTAAGGCCTTGTAATGCCATGCGGCTGACCGAGGTTCGAGTCCCAGACCTGGTGGCTTGCTTTCTGACTTTCTCTTTCTGGTCAACTTAAAAATAATAAGTAAAAATAATTTTTAAAATATTTTAAGTAAGAATGATTGAGTTATCATCTTACCCAGGTTTTACACATTTGCCTAGAGCGTCTGAAACACTATTGTAAGAATAAAACAGTTCTGGGACCAGCAGTTGGCGTAATGGCTATGTCGCTGGACTCCCATGTAGTCGACCACAGTTCAAGTCTCAGACGCAGTGGCTTAAACTCATGCCGGGCATGTGTGTGTGTGTGCCCAAGATCCCGAGAGGAGAATGGAGAAGGGATTGCGGTGTGGCCATCCCTCCTAGGGGTGATTTCTCACTCTCTGTCTGTCTTTCTGGTGAGTGCATGTGCCCTATAGCAAAAATCTCTCCTAAATAAATAAATAAATGAAACAATTTTGGTGCTGGCTGGTGGCGTGGCGGTTAAGGGTGCTGGACTCCCACATGGCTGACTGTGGTTCGAGTCCTGGAACCTAGCTTGCCTTCCCACTTTCTCTCTCTCTGCCTCGTTGGTCAAATCAAAATATAAATAAATAAATGGATGAATAAATAAAAAGTTAAATAAAATAATTATTTAGTAAGTAATAAAATGACTTTACCCTGCCCACCACCTTCAAGTGACTCTGTGCTGTGCCCTCTTTCCGGGAACATGCAGTGCCCCGCACAGGCAGCGGTGGGGGGGGGGGCTGCCCGTGCCATTGCCTGGGGACAGCTGGGAGAGTCTATGGAACCTAGACTGGGGAGAGGAGGCAGGGCGCATGAACCGCCCTGCTGCCACCTGCCCCCAGTCAGGCCCTCGCTCGCTGTCAGGGACTAGGGACGCTGGGCAATAGGTCCCAGGACATGCAGGGCACTGCCCTGCCATGCACCGAGCGCTGCTGCCCCCATTCTCAGGTGCGCGGGACAGGGGCCCAGGGTCCACCTTCCCCCTCCACACCAGCCTTATCTGTCCTCCTCCTGGGAGTCCAGCTGCAAGGGACAGGAGTGGGCAGTCGGGTGAGCCCCACACACAGGCACAGCCCCCCAGCCCCGCGCAGCTACTCTGAGGGGAGGGAGTGGGGCCAGGTGGGGCTCTCCAGTGCCCCTCTGTCGGCAGTCATGGCTGAGCTCTGGGGCGGGGTGCACACTCCGTGTCCCAGGGACAGAGTGAGCTCGTTCAAAATGCTCCTCAGGAAGGGCACAGCAGCCTGGCGGCGCCAGGTACGGCGATGGCTTCGGCCCAGCCCGTGCGTGGGGCCTTGGCTCAACCCCCCAGGCCCAGCCTGGACTGAAAAGACCAACCCCCCCCAGCCCTTCTCAGTGCCTGAGGGGACAGTGGATGGTTGTGCAGGTAACTTTGGCTGGGTAGCACCAGGGAGCTGACCGTGCCCATGCCCACGCTGGCCAGCTTGGCTCAGAGGGGTCAAAACGAGGGGTGAGGGAAGAGCTGGCCATCAGAGGGTTGGGGATGGCCTCTCGAGTCCCTGGCAGAGCGAGCCTGGGCTGTTTCTCAAGAGTGGGGCCAGGGTGGGGCCAAGCCCAGAGCTGACCCAGGCCAGCAGCCCTGGCCTCGGCATGGAGGACAGGCCTGGCAGCACCTCCCATCTGCTCTGTGTTCCTGGGCGTCCCAGCAGCACCCTGAAGTATCTGTTTCTAGAACTACGGTCTGTCCCGTGTCCAGTGCCCCAGGCTCACTCCAGTCCTGCCTAGCTAGGAGACAGGTCCCCCCTCCTGTCCCAGCTGTGGCCTGTTACCGCCCTGCTGGGCACAGCGCTGGCCGTGCGCGGGGCAGCCCAGCCTCCCATCTGCCGTGGCAGACGCCGGTTCACCCCAGACCTGGCACCATCCAGGAATAGTGAGGGAGCTGCCCTGCCCTCGTCAGTGCCCGCCCTGCCTCAGGCCAGAGGGGCCCTTGGACTGCACCTCCGGAAGGGCCCAGGCTAGGAGGAGGCCGAGATCTGCTGGGAGGGGCACTGGGTCCCCCTCAAGGGAGGCCAGCCCTGGTCTCAGGCTCTGGGCCCTGGGAGGCAGCCTCTGACCAGCAGGGGCCCTTCCTGCCCAGCCGGGGCGGGGCCCCAGGGCTCGGAGGGGATCTGCTGCTCCGGGACATGCCGCTGCAGGTGTGCTGAGGAGACAGGCCTGAGTCTGACCGTTTAATGAGAAGGCACCTTCCTGCCTAAGCTTCCAGACCAGAGGGGTCCCCAGGGGTAGTGGGGCCCTGACCCGAGGCTGGACCCCGTGGGGGCCTGCGGCTCGCTGAGCAGGGTAGCGGGCGTCCCACCAGCAGTCTTCTCTGGGTCGGCCTCTCAGGTCCTCACCTCTGCAGCACAGACAGGGCTCAGCAGGGGTGGTGGGAGCCGGGGCAGGGGCCGCCCTGCCGGCACTCACCATCCAGGGTGTGGAACTGGTCTGCGGAAGCCTCCTCGCAGAAGCCTGAGGTGTAGCCAAGGGTATGGGTTGGCTGGGACTTGGGCCAGGAGGGCGGGGGCGCGGGGGCTGAGTGGCTGGCCACACTCACCGTACTTGGGGAAGAAGACGACCTGGTCCTCCGTCAGGTTGGCCCCCTGGACGTGCTGCTCGAAGGTGGCCAGCACGGGGTCGCTCACAGGGAGTGAGCGGGCTGTGGGGCAGACGAGGGTGCTCAGGGCAGGTACTGGCGAGCTTGGGACCAGCACACCTGACTGCCCCACACTGGGTCCCGGCCTCCCGCCACTCAGC